AAGCGTTCGCATATTGCAAATGAGAAACAATAGACAACAAAAAAAAAACAGAAGAATAAATATTGAAAGGCACACTGACATCCCGACACACACAGGTGTTTAATCTTGTTTGCTATGTGTGCGTGTGTGTTGTATGGTGTGGAGTAGCAGAGAAAATTTGATACATTTTGAAAGAGCCGCATCGATGATAGACAATAATTGCGGCAACCATCCATTGAGAGAAAGAGGGGAAGAGACTGGGAGAAATAAAATGCTCACGATCCTCATAATTGGTTGCGTACTCGCACGTTTTTCTTCCCATTTCAGAATCATTCCAACCGAAGCAGTTAAAAAATCGTACATATATTGAGAAGAAAAAAAAACTGTACAAGTGTGTCGTTCGTCATGGCACTTCAACAACTCTATGTTATGTAAATACATTTTAATCCAAGTTTTTCTTCATACGATGAACTTTAATCAACTTATTCGTTCTTGTTCGGTAAAAAATCCGTAAAAATCGTGACTTTTGTTCGACAAGTACCTTAAAAAATCACTTTTTGGAGTTTTTGTCTGAAAAGACTGCCCATATTTTTGAGAAAAAACAACTTTCCACCAAGACACCAACCAAGAAATGTGGATACTTGGAATTTTTTTTGAACAAAAGTCCATTTTTCAAGATTTGAAATTGAACCAACCGAATATGAGCCCAGAAATATATGAACACATCACTTGATCTGGTCATATGGGCACTCAAAATGTTTGTGAGGGATCACACTAGAACTTGAAAGGCAGCAAAGGCAGAAATTGTTTGCTCAGTGAGGTAATATCACTGTTAAACCGAAGCTCATGGGCGTATTTTCCTCATTTTGCTTAAAATAGACTCAGTTTACGACACAAAAATCACATAAATCTATACAAATGAAACCAGAAATCAATTTTACCTCAAAAATCAAGTAGAAATAGCTCTTCACACGTTTCAAATTCGAATAAAACTGGAGCAGTTCAGCTATATGTAGCGTAAAATGGCGACTTTTTGACCATTTTCGAGTATATTCGAGCCTGTAGAGCCACCAAATCACTATTTATGTGCATCTATTGATCAGATTTGAATTCCTCGTCAAAAATTAGACTAAATAAAGTCAATTTTGGCCATGCATTTGAGGTTTTTCGAGGGTCCAGAGGTGAGTTTTTGCGGAATAGTAGCCAAAAAATGGATACTTGGTCGAATTTTGACCTACGAAGGCGACAAAATCGCGTTGGAATGATTCCAAACCGACTTATTTTTATGTAATTTTTCACAACAAATCCAAATATGATAGTTTGAATGCAAGAAAAGGGGGTATTTTTCGAGATATTTCAACAAATAGTCTGAAAAAATCATCAAAAAATTATCCAGATAAAAATTGAGTGGGCACTGTGGGAATCGACTTTTCGGCATATGTCCCAGAACAAAAGTTTCTTCTTTTAAGGTGCCAAATCGAACGCGCACTCAGGGTTTTTGATTTTGTGCGATTTTAAAAATCGATCCACCCTAACGGACATACAGATATTTTTTTTCCCTTTTCTTTGTTTTCGGACAAAATGAAACAGATAGTTGTCTGTTTCAATAGATTTTTTTTCTTAAAGATTGTATTATCGACGGCACAAATTTCCAGGCAAAATTTAATGACAGCACAATATATATGTAACAAAAGAAAAAAAAATTGTTGGATGCGTACTTTTCAGCAAGTCGACTGAAGTTAGGAAGTAAATACATGCGAGCAAATTTTTTGTTTTTTTGTTTTTCTGCCGCAGTCTACCGAACACAAAACACTGAATGCTGATTTACACAGCGACAACAACGACAAATGCTGTTGGACTTCAGCTTTGGCTAAAGTTGAATGCATACACACATCCGTAGCACGATCCAATGTGAGTTTCCATCATTTTATTGGTTTTTTTTCTGGTACCAACGAATCAATGTGTTAGTGCATTTTGACAATAGCAGAACTCAACACAAATACGAAACAAGGCACAAGCTATCTAACTGTTACTTCATTGCTGTTTGCATGCTTTGATTCCGTTGTAATGAAATGGAATGTCAATGTTTCAATGATTCAATTTAAAAAAAAAATCGTTCACCATTTTTACAACGAAGATTAATGTGGAATTTTCATCAAAAATAATTTAGAAAATGGATATAACTTGTTGAATGCATTGAAATGGAAACGAGTAAACCATCGCAATGTGGTTGGTTGTAACATTGAAACATTGAACGTACCCGATTTTGACAGTTCTGCGCGACGGTTGGACATCCTGACTGCATCGCTGCGATATTTACAAAATATTAATGTTGCGGCACTTTGGAACAAGCAAACGAGTTGTTTGATGAATAAAAACAAATTCCAAAATGAAGCTGAGTAAAAATTCGCGTGTTGAGCAGCTCCAGGACTATTTTAAGAGCCACAATAAAACCAAAGAGCAAAAAGCACACACTTCAAAGGTAAACAATGTTAAAAAACAGCAGTGCGTTGTTTTTTGTTTTGCTTGATTTTCAATTTTTTTAGGTTAAGTTTTGCTACAAATTTAATGTTTTATCATTTTTGTGTATTTGTATCTTTTTCCGTGTTGAATAGGTTCATTCGGTTGGATGGAATTGCGATGGAAGACGATTAGCATCGGGGTCATTTGACAAATCGGTGGCAATATTTTCACTGGACCGAGATCGATTGGTAAGAGCATGAACAAGCGATGGTTTTTTTGGCGCCGTTCACTGAAACATTACCACTTTTTTTCAGGCCAAAGATAACACGTACCGGGGACACACAGGCTCAGTTGATCAGTTGTGTTGGCATGCTACTCTGCCCGATCTATTAAGTACAGCCAGCGGTGACAAAACTGTGCGCATTTGGGATGTTCGAGCCGGCAAGTGTTCGACAACGATTAACACAAAGGGTGAAAATATCAACATCACTTGGTCGCCAGACGGTAATACGATTGCCGTTGGGAATAAGGAAGATTTGGTTACATTCATCGATACACGTACACACAAAATCCGTGCCGAGGAGCAATTCAATTTTGAAGTGAACGAAATCGCCTGGAACAACACAAGTGACTTATTCTTTTTGACCAATGGACAGGGCTGCATTCATGTTCTAAGCTATCCAGATTTGGAATTGCAGCACATGTTAAAGGCACATCCAGGCACTTGCATCTGCATTGAATTCGATCCAACCGGCAAATACTTTGCGACTGGATCTGCGGATGCTCTGGTATCGCTGTGGGATGCAAATGAACTTGCATGCCTGGTGAGTTTCACTGTGAAATAGCAAATATTTGATGTCTCATTTCGAAAGCAATTTTTAATCGATTTTCTTTTGGTTTAGCGCATTTTCTCACGATTGGATTGGCCAGTTCGTACTATATCTTTCAGTCATGACGGTCGCCTGTTGGCATCAGCGAGCGAAGATCTGCTCATCGATATTGGAGACACGGAATCTGGCGAAAAGGTTGCTGACATTTCAGTCGATGCAGCCACATTTACGGTTGCCTGGCATCCAAAGCAATACCTTCTAGCATACGCTTGTGATGATAAAGACAATAACGATCGCAGACGAGACGCTGGCAATTTGCGCGTCTGGGGATTTTCCGACTGAATATTAGCTTAAAATTATTGTTAAGATATTAGTAATTTATAAGGCTACCGAGAATGGAAATGAAAGTAAAGAAAATAACATTAACTTCGTACAATACATCAAGAATAAAATGTTTTTTTCTTCGTCATAATTACATACACGCAGCAAATTGTCTTCGTTTTCGCTTTAAAACCATTGTGCCTGAGTTTCTTGTTTTCGTTCCATATGCGAAAAACGAGTTTTGACACAGCAGCAGCAAAAAAACAGAGGAAAATATACAGATACGCAAAACCAGAGAAGAGATGAAAGTAAATTTTAAAAATTCCATTCGAACGATAATTCATAATTTTTTTTTAAAATAGAACCAAGTTTGACACATGACAAGTGTGAGTCGTTCATGTGGCAATACAGCAGAGGTACCCGATGTATGGGATTTTTTTTTCAAGTCGTTATTTTCGAAAACGCCATTATTAGTCAAAAACCCATCGCGTGCATTTCATCTTAAGATACAAACAGAGGTTCAAGGTAAATACTGTTCTAAATTTCATAAATCGAACGAATTTCGAACTGGCAAAACAAATTGGTTTTAAACTGAAATTAGTTTTTCGTTCTCAGAATTCAAAATTTTGATTGTGAATTTTTTCCCATTTTTCAGAGTAAAATATGGGCCCAACAAGAAACAATCGTCGTGACCGAGGTCGTGGCCGAGGTGGTGGTTCAGGCAATGATGACTCGGTTCCAAATAACTCGGCTGCCAATGTTCCGGTGGACATGGTGAATGCATCGAAAAAATCGAAAGCATTCAATGGTAATTTATTCATTTTATTCTATTGTTTCTTCTCCAAGCTGTGACGGAAAGAAATACGAAAATTGTTATTTTTTTAATTCTCATCTCGTTCAAAAACCAGATACTCTTGCTGATGTCCAGGCTCAGTTCAATGCCATCTATGCAAAACTCGGTGATCTCAACAAAAAATACGATGATCTCAACAAAAAATACGATGATCTCGCCAAACAACAAGGTGACATGAAAACCGAACTGGACAAACTGAAAAAATGTGCCAAATGCTCGAAAATTCGCAACGAAAATTGGCAATGTGAAGGCTGTGTCTATGACAGGTAAGTACTAAAATAGGCACAACATTGTTTGGCCTGGATCAAATTTCAGAAATACTGAATTAATTCTTTTGGTTGAATTACAGAGCAATGAAAACGAAGGCAAAAATAATTAAAACAATTAACAGCTTAAGTGATGGCTTCTTAAAGCCACTCACACCCCCGGCATCTTCGAATGGTTCCAAAGATTATGATGATTAGGTCAATTAAACCTGTGATCAATAGCAAATGAGGCAACTGTGAGCATTTCCCAACTGAACAGTATTATTAGTATCGTTAAGCGCATAAACATTTATAAAGACTAAAAGAGGAAGTAAACACAAAACACATGCTTTGAATATTCTTTGAAAATACAAAATGATCTTTTCGTTGTAAATCCCAGACAATTGTAATTCCTTCCTAAGCCCTTCTTTATTTCGACCGAAGTTAATCAATGCCTGTAAACACTGTGGATTATTCAAAGTTCGTTTCTTATTTACAATCATTTTTAGCTATTCATTGGAATTAATCAGTTTGTGAAAGATATCGCGACGTGAGTATTTGTACCGTGAATCGGTAGAAGATAAACACAAACAGTTGCAAGAGAAGAAAGACCAACTGAAACGTAGTTTGGAAGAGGGTATACCGATTCACGGGGATTTGAGACGCGAAGTGGCAGTTGATTGGTCAACTAAAGAGCGAAAAAGAACAGCACGGAACAGACATGAAAGCTCTCCGTGACGAAATGAATAAACAATTCGAAGAAATCCGAAAATGTGCCAAATGCAAAGAAAAATGCGAAGATGCTTGCATTGTGAAAACTGTGTTCGACAAAGGTAGTTGGTAAAATGACCTCAAGATTATTCAGCTTGGATGAAATTACATAAATATTGAATGGTATTTTTTGGATTGATTGGATTGCAGAGCAAATACATTCACAAAACGGCGTTTTGAAAACGCATAACAGCTAAGATCAAGGAGCTTCACAATGATGAGCACACAATGCCACTAGCGCCATCTGCGTCGCAAGATGATTTGAATACGGACAATTGATTGAGATCAACAACGATAGACTGAACTTTTCTTTAAAATTAACGTTAAGCGACTAGAAAAACGCAAACATGTGTTTTAAGATTGCTGAGCATCTCAGCATTTCGTAAGGCACGGATATATCCGAGCATATCGACGACGCATACTGTATAATACAGTGGCGTGTGTTGCTACGTGCAGCCGCAACGACTCGACCGAAGTGTGTTCAGTTGATGTGGCTGCACGCAGCAACAATATACACATTCCGGTCGAGTCGTTGCGGCTGCGCGTAGCAACGCACGCCACTGTATTATACAGTATGCGTCGTCGATATGCTCGGATATATCCGTGCCTTACGAAATGCTGAGATGCTCAGCAATCTTAAAACACATGTTTGGAAAAACGACGAAGAAAAGAGGAAATATACACAAAATAATGTCTTTATTGTAGATATTTGAAAATTTCAATTTGCTCCTAGGCCCATGTTTCTTCTTGATATCGACCAGAACTAATTATTGTCTGTACATAATCTGGATCATTCAAAGCATCTGAGAATGCTTTTTTCACGGCTGCTGGCATATTTTTCGCATTTCCAGCCAATAAAAAGAATCCATTCTGATGGATTATTTTCTCGCGTAACCATTCACTCTGCTCCGAGATGCGATGTTGAACGTAGCTAAAATGGATAATGAGTTTTTTTTTAGTCAAAAATAGATCAAAGCGGTTTTGGGGCGCTTACATTTTGTCATCTTGATCTCTTGAAAATGCTGTAAAGAGTTTCAGTAGCTTTTCTTCTTCCATTTTCAGCAAATCCTCTCTGTAAAACAGACAAATGTAACATTAGACGCATACCGAGGTAAAATATTCAATGTTGTGACTGACTTGCAATGAAAATCTAATTTTTCGCCACGACACCCGAAGAATAGAGTAAACGGAAACGGTTGCGAACTGATTCGATTTTTAAGTTGGTGCCGCCGTTGAAGTAGCAACGATCGAAAAGGTGCCAATCCAGTTCCGGGACCGACCATCACAATTGGCGTCGTCAAGTCGGTAGGAATTTTGAATGTACCTTTCTTGATAACGGCTTGAATTTCATCTCCACATTTTAATTGCTTCAGCCAATTCGAACATAAGCCCAATCTTGGTGTTGCCATCATTGTTTTGTACTGCACGACGGCCACGAGCAAATCCAGAGTACCGTGCTCCGGACATGAAGCAATTGAAAATGATCTCATTTTTATGAACTGAAAAACTTCGAATAACATTCGAAGGTTTAGCTTAGCAGCGGCTTTGTGAAAATCTCGTAGCACTTCCAAAATAGTGCGCCTGGGTCGATTCGCATAGGTGAATAAGTCATCTTGTCCTTCTGACGATGAAAATTCCAATAGTTTTTCCTTTTCCAATTCATCGTCACAATTCAATGCAAGCAATTTAAATGTACGTTGACGAGGAACTGCATTCAAGTCCCATAGTTGCTTCGCTATAGTTTTCAATGGCAGTGGAATGTTCAAATAATCAGGTACTGGCATTTCTATAGATTGAAGAAAATTTGAATACAAAAATAATTGAAAAAAGTTTCAAATAATTCAAAATCAAATTTTCTGTTATTTTCAACAATTTTTTTTCTTCAAATAGCCAATTATTTCAAATGAATAACATTGAAAATATCGAATATGATGCATATGTATGTGAACCGGGCTTAAACATCGTATTCGATCAATGTTAGTTGACGGCAAGGCATTACTTGACAGATAAACATTGTGGCAATCTAACAACACGTGCATATACCATTTACTGCTGCGTTTATTCGAAATCGTTGTAAAACAGTTCCGCGACGTTTATTTACAATCGTTTTTAGCATTTCATTGGAATTAATTAGTTTGTAAAAGATGTTGCGACGGCAAGCACGTTTACGACGTGAATATTTGTACCGTAAATCGGTAGAAGATAAACACAAACAGTTGCAAGAGAAGAAAGATCGATTGAAACGTAGTTTGGAAGAGGGTATACCGATTCATGGGGATTTAAGACGCGAAGCGATTGCTCTTCAAGAAAAACTTAAATGGACAGATCAAGGTAATGAATAATTACATAATTGAAACCGTTCGAATGAGAGAATTTACGCAAAATCTATGCATTACAATATATAGGGCCAGAAGCAGCCAAAGCGATAGCCGGTTTTAGCGGTGGTGCAAACACAGTGAATTCACAGGACGATGAATATCGCTATGCGGGCTGTGAAGATCCAAAAATTATGATTACAACGGCGCGTGATCCATCGGCACGGTTGAAAATGTTTGTCAAAGAATTGCGCCTAGTTTTCCCGAATGCACAGCGCATGAATCGTGGTAATTATGAAATGAAGCAATTGGTGCATGCGGCACGTGCAAACGATGTCACCGATTTGATATTTGTGCATGAGCATCGTGGTGTTCCAGACAATCTAGTTATCTGCCATTTACCATATGGGCCAACGGCATACTTTAATTTAAGCGGTGTGGTTATGCGACACGATGTTCCCGATATCGGACCGATGAGCGAACAGAAACCACATTTGGTATTCCACAATTTCAAAACCAAATTAGCCGAACGCACCACGTCCATTTTGAAATATTTGTTCCCCGTTCCGAAAGAGGATTCAAAACGTGTCGTTACATTTGCCAATCACGACGATTACATCGCATTCCGGCACCACACATTCAGAATGGTAAATGGCGAGACGGAATTAACAGAAGTTGGACCACGATTTCAATTGAAATTATACCAAATCAAATTAGGTACAATCGATGAGGTGAAAGCGGCCGATACGGAATGGGTGCTCAAACCGTATATGAACACGGCGAACAAACGACGTTTCTTATCGGATGAAGATGGTTGGAAACAAGACGATGATATCGAAGTTAATGATTAATTCTGTACGTTTTTTTTTCTGTCCTTCTCAATAAAATCCCTACGGTTAAAAAATCAAGAAAAAAAATTCGTGTCTGTTTTCTTACCCGCATCAATTTCACTAAGTTTAATAATGGTATTTGGTCCAAAGTCAAAATCGTACTCTTTAAAAATTTCAAACAGCTCATCGACTTGGGCATCGGAATTTTGCGGTCGTACCACTAGAACATCACCAGGTTGCCAGTGCAAATTATCACTATTGAAACTTATCAATCGTACGTCTTGAAAGTGGTGGTCAGCCGTTGTTCGCTTGTTATCCTACGGAATATCAATCATTTCTTAAATCATGCTTGAACACTTCTCACACTCAACAAACATTCAAACACTAACAATTACTGCGGTTGTAAATGTTGTTTCATCGAAAATGGAATCCCTGTGGCTATGATAAATGTTTTCATTTTGATGCGAATCGATTGTTCTAGATGACGTTACAACATCAACATTCCACCGAAATTGTCTGGGCGATTCAGTCAATGCAGTTAATCCGTCTGGGAGTGGAGCATGTATCAGAAGCTCGTTCCACAAATCATTCAGCCACTTAACGTACACAGCACTTGGACCCAAATCATGTTGATCATCACATAGCCCGATCGGTATCAAAATGCTAGCGCCAAGCTGTTGCAATCGTTTGTTGAGACGCTTACCAACAAAGTTGAATTTTTCATAGCCAGAATCACCCAAACCCAAAACGGCACAATGAACCGAGCTCAAAGAGTCGGACGGTAGGCTCTTACGCAAAAGAAATCGCCAAAATGACTTCATGTTATCCGGTACATCGCCTTGACCGGTTGTTGAGCTCACAAACACAACAAACTCTTCGTTTGGTAACAGTTGAATATTGTATTTGTCCATTGGCATCACGGTGCCCGTAAAATAGAATCGTTTCGACTCACGCCAAACGTATTCGGCCAAATCTTGTGCGGTTCCCGTTTGACTTCCATACAGAATTGTTAGTTTTCGTGCCATCATTTCAAATACAACACTTTCAATCAGCTGCTTGCTACCAAACCAAAAGCATTGTGTGTATGCGGTTAGGTATGACAATGCGATGTTTTCGATGTTTTTAAACTGACAGCTGCAAATAGGCGAATTGATGCAAATGTAAACACACCTTTTGTTAGAAATAAAACCATTTAATTTGAACGTTTTTTTTTTGTTCTTTATTTTTTAATTTATTTACTTCGAATCGAATTAAAAATTAACAATATATTTACGGTATATTATAATTATAATTATAATGTTTGGTAGGTATTTATTTAAGAATTGATTTGTTTTTCTTTCTCTGTTTATTGTCCAGTTTAAAATGGGTATTCATTTAGCAAACATTTCATTTCGAATAAAATGATAATTGTCAATAAACTTGATTTCTTTTTTTAGAGTACAAAAAATGGAGCAGGGAAGGGGGATAGAGAGAGAGAGAGAGAGAGAGAGAGAGAGAGAGGACGGAGGATGAAGTATTTTATTAGGTCAAAAAGAAGTGATGACAGTCAAATAATGATTATTTTTTTACAGACATACAGCTATAAGAAACAATAATACTTAAACGCTTAATAATTGATTATTTAATCGCAGTATTTAATTCATTGGCTATTTTTGATAAAAAGATTGTTGATTTTATTATTAATTATTGTATTTTGGTTCGTGCACCATTAAAAATATTCAAAACGTGCAATACACTTGATTTCTTAGCTGATAATCAATGCGATCTTATTATTGTGGCTACATTTTCCTCCTTTTCAATTGTATTGTCAAACACATTTGCAAACAACAAAACTACCGAAAAAAAAAATACTGTAAATGGTTATGTATCTGTGAAACGGGTTTGTGAAAACCGTCCATAATTAGATCGAGTTAAAACACAAATTAATGGAAAAATCGGTGAAAAAAAAATAAAAATAAACTGTTCGCACTTTGCAATGTTGAGAATAACAGCAATAAAAAAAATTGTTAGAGTTACATTTACACAATAACTAACATTTGTCTTATTTTTTGTTGTTGAGAGAATAGCCTTTTATGATGAAATCGGTTTACGATTAAATTAAGAATATATGTATGTTATTCAGTTATCCTGTGTTTTGTATAATTTGCAACGTTTGCCATATAAATTTAGTAATCCTGTTATTTTTAATAAATTGCAAAGTTGCCAGCCTATTAATGAGATTCCTATTTTGTAATTAATTTTATGTATAAACACATTTTTATTGTCATGTTGTTCTTTATTTTTATTGTTCAATCGCAAAACTGTGTGTGCGTTGTGTGGTCTTATCATGAAAATAATTTGAAGCCATTCATTCATTTTCACATTACTAAATATTATTCGTATTTATTGTCCTCAATCGAACAGTCAGTTCAATTATAATGAGATTTTTCTTTGGAAAATTCATTCAAAACGGCGCTTATTGTGTACAATTTCCCATTGTTTCAGTACTCCGTTTGGGGAAGAGGATATAATACGCGTCCAAAATGTGGTAATAAAATTGGACTGGTATTGACTGGTCCATGAAATATGTACGATATAGTAGAATTTAAATATATCGAGCTCTTGGCCATTTTGCCATCAATTGCCATTTATCAGTATGATATGGGCTGCTTTGAAGCCTTGTTTCGTGTTTGCGATTCACATGAAAGTAAATAAAAACAAATTCACACTTGTCTGTGTTGGTCTCTGTCCTATTCACACTCATGGATATTAGAATTAATATTGTCGGCATTGCATAGAAATTGAAAATGGATATGAGTGAGTGTGATGCTGTCATCTTTTTTTTTGCTTTTTCATCATTAAAACAGTAACTCTGTCCTTATTAAATTTTCGAAGAAATTACCTGTATTATATATATAAATATTTATTGAATGGCAAAAAGTGTGAGAACGGTTTCGTACGAAATGTTGCAATATATTGAGCCAAGGGTATACTAGAAATTGTACATAAAGTTAATATTGACATGTAGTTAGATTTTATCAAAGTTGAAAAATGTTACGTAATCTAATTGAACACTGCTCTCCCATTGAAATGATATGAAAATCCAATATGCAACCGGTTTCTCTTTTTTTTTGATACGTGTGATTAGTTATGTTAGAAATGAGAGTCTCTACTGCACTGATTTTGGCAGATCAAGATGACTCAATGATTCAATTAGAATAAAACTTGAATAAATTATTTGTGTGATTTTTGTTGTTGTTATTGTTGTAATTTACAACTTGTAAATATGTTAGTATTGTCAATGTTTCTGTGTGAAAATATGTGTCCATTTTTCCCATTGATTCACAAACACTTTGTTTTAATTGAAATTATTAGTGTTGGATTATTCAAGAAAAAATATTATTGTCGATTTGTTAAATCTCTTGACACAATTTATGTTATACATACGGTTGAATACAATTCTCCTTATTTTGGGTTCATTTTGCTTCGTTCATCATTTAGTCAATTGTTTAATTTTTATCAGAAATAGAAGATTGATCTTAATAATTGGATGCGTATGATATCAATCTAATTAAATTTTCTCTCTATCTAGCTAATATATATATATATATTCTAGCACAACACTTAGTAAATTTAATGTAAAGAATATTCTTTTTTTTTATTATTATTGTCAATAATCGATTCGATGGAGTTTTACATATTCATTTTTGTATTTATTGTCAACATGTCATTGTTTATTGTTATTTGTCTCAATTAAAAGTGATAATTCGTATGATTATTATTGTTCTTAAACGTTTTCCCAGAGGCTGCATATTTGCTGCTGAGAAGGCCTGAGCTGAGCCAAATTTGCTAACTCAGGCGCCTGAATCGGTATTTTAACGCACTTACGGTGCAAAATTGTCATTTCTAGCTGGCACCCACGTTGCTTATCAATTATTATAAGGTGGGTGCCAGCTAGCAATGAGTCATTGCCATTGCCAATGACAATTTTACACCTTAAGTGCGTTAATATACCGATTCAGGCTCCTGAGTTAGCAATTTCAGCTCAGCTCAGGCCTGCTCAGCAGCAAATATGCAGCCTCTG